CCCGGACCCCGCAGCGGCGCCCCTTCAAACCCCCCAAAAAAACCTTTTTTTTCCTTTCTTTACTGTTTTTTTTTTAACGGTTTGTAGATCTATTTCTAGCATTTTTTATTGACGCCCCGTTTTCACGAGGTATCCGGGGCGGTGTGCGCCCTCGCTGTCTGCCGCGGTGTGAAGCATCTGACTTGAGCTGCGCAATTAAAACCGAATTTTAAATGAGCTCGATTGCGCACATTTCAGATCCTTCGGGAGCAGCAGGAATCCTGGCTGTGCTGTCCTGCGGTGCGTCATTTTTTTATTGGGCGAGCTCTTGTACGGTGTGAGAGCAGTGAAATCTCCACAGCGCCGTGCTAAAACGGGGGTCTTTGTTCCAGTACCTTAAGGTGGAATAAAACCGATTGCAAATGCTTGAATGTCACACAGATCCTGCAGCACCAGTAATTCCATAACCTCTCCAGTATTCCCAGCACTATCAGCTCCACAAAATGCCTGGAATCGCTGACTGCAGTGACCCACCTTGTCTGCCTTTTGTTCAGCAGCTCTAATTCTGTTTAGCAGTTTTTATTAGAAGGAGCAGGATGCCTGTGCTGGCTGTTGAATGGTGCATCTCTTTGTTACCTAGGAACCCACCTGACTGACCTTCTCCCAGGCTTAGCTTCTGGAGACTTATTTTCTTGGCCATGGCTACTTCTGGTAGGTAGAATTGTGTGCTAAATGCTCGTGTGTTGTTTTTTATTAATTTTTTCTGCCTCCTGATTTCTTCGGAATAACTTAAAAACTGAACCTAGTGAAATAAGATGCTGTCACCAAGCTTTTTCTCCCATCTTGGGTGAGGCTGTTGAAGCTGGGTGGTTGTGAAAACACCCCAAAAGAGGAGTCTGGCAGCAGATGGGCTTCAGCTCCCTGCAGCCATCTGCTCCCTCGGCAGAGCTGGCTGTCACCGAGACATCTCGGGGACCACGCTGACACCGTGCAGGGCTGGGAGACAGAGCCCTGCCTGAAAATTAAACTAAAAAACTGGGTTTTTTTAGTTCTTTGCTTTCTCAGGTTCCAGGTAAGTGCCTGGAAATTCACCCTCAGGTTTGTCACTGAAGACAGAACGATTTTTGATTTGAACTAGTGAACTTGTTTTCACGACTTGGGACGTTGAAGGCTAAATTTAAACATCAAGTGCAACTCCTGTCTTGGATTCCCTTCCTCAGGGAACCTCTGAATTTCGGAAGGTTGTTTTTAATGCCACCTGAGCCAATTCCTGCATCAAATGCTCTTTTTCCTGCCTCTTTTCCCCTCCATTCCCAGACATCCAGGTGAAGGAGCTGGAGAAGCGAGCCTCTGGGCAGGCCTTTGAGCTGATCCTCAGCCCCCGCTCGAAAGAAGCTGTGCCAGAATTCCCTCTGTCTCCCCCAAAGAAGAAGGATGTGTCATTGGAAGAGATCCAGAAGAAGTTGGAAGCGGCAGAGGAGAGACGCAAGGTAAATCTGGAGCAGCTGAAGTGAGCTCTGCTCCACCAGTTTTGGGGGTTTGGGGCTCTTTTTTCATTTGTTCCTTGGGATAAGTGGGTTTTTTAATGGAAAATTGAATATTAATGGAACTTACTAATGAAATCCCTGGGGCTCTTATGAAGCTTTATGGTCATGGTTTTGATTCCAAAGAGATTTTGAAGAAAAACTGGCAGGAAGTGTAGCTGAGAGGGGCAGCTGTTTCAGGAAGAAGCTGTTTTTCTTGTCTTTTAACACCAGAACAGATGAATTTTCTCCTTGAAAACTCAGCAGTGAATCTGTAATGAGAGAAGTTGGGGAGTAAATTGTGTGACTGATGAAGGATGTGGCTGAGGGTGCAGCCTGGAGCCCTTGAGGCTGGCGAGGCTTTGATGGAAGTGAGCCTGACCCGAATCCCAGTGATTCACCACTCTGAGAAGGGAGGATCCGCAAGGAAAGTTCCCTCAATGTTAACATTAAAAAAAAAAACCATTCCCTCTCCAGAAAGATGCCATTTAACAAGATGTGCAGGTAATGACAGCTTTGCAGGTGGCTCTGGTGATGAAAGGCAGGTTTGTGGGTGTGTGGGGGAAGCCCAGGAGCCGTGTCCTGCAGCACAAGGACACAAAACCCTGTGAGGAGCCGGGGCAGCTTTTCCTGCTGTGCCCTCACAGCCTCCCCGTGTCTCCCCAGTCCCACGAGGCAGAGGTGCTGAAGCAGCTGGCGGAGAAGCGGGAGCACGAGAAGGAGGTGCTGCAGAAAGCCATCGAGGAGAACAACAACTTCAGCAAAATGGCAGAGGAGAAGCTGACCCACAAAATGGAAGCCAACAAAGAGAACCGTGAGGCACAAATGGCTGCCAAGCTGGAGCGCTTGCGGGAGAAGGTGGGTGTGGAGCCCTGGGAGAGGGAGCTGGCCCTGCTCCTGCTGGGAAAAGGAGGTGAAAACTCCCCAGAAAGCATCCCCACGAGGAGGCTGCCCTGAGCAGCTGGGGAGGGCTTGGTTATGGATCCTGCTGCATTCCTGTTGTGGGATTGCAGCTCTGTGAGAGGGGCAGCCTCACCCCTGTACCCCACACTGCTGTGGGAACCCTTTCCCTGATCTCCCTACATCTCACAGCTTCCTGCTGCTGTTTTTCAGGACAAGCATGTGGAAGAGGTTCGAAAGAACAAAGAAGGCAAAGATCCCGGCGAGGCCGAGACCGACTGACTCCGTTCTGGAAACTGACTCTCCCCCTCCTCCAAATATCCAAAGACTGTACTGGCCAGTGGTTTTATCTTTGGTTTTTGTTCGGTTATATATATATTTTTTTTTAAGTTTCTTAGAAACTGATGTAGAACTGTAAAATTAGATCCAAACTGTACACTTGCTTTTGGGGGCTAGAGGGGAGACCTTCCATGTGTCACTTTTCTAAAGTGTTGTATTTCCAGTGTAGCTTTTTCTTCTTGTTGCATCCTTTTCTACGCCAGTGCACTCGCTCTTGGGTTGATGGCGAGTACTGTTTCAGCTCTGTAAGAACTTTGTGCAAGGAATCTGTAGTAACTGTTCCATGCTGAATATCTGTTACACTTCAAACAAAAATCTCTGACTGTCCAGTCTGCTAAAATCCTGCTGTAACTGAGTGACTCAATAAAGCTGCACAGTGCTGTTAGCCCGTGTTCCTTCCTCAGGAGCCCAGGGCTGGCCAGGGGCTGGAGCAGCTCCGATTGTCCGGCTGTGACAATCGGAGCTTTGTGTGACACCTCAGCCCGTGGCAGCTGTTTGTGTGTGAGGGCCCTGAGCTGGCACATCCCAACAAGCAGCCCTTGTTCAGGGGCTGAGGGGAGCAGCAGAGCCCGGCTCGGGGGGCCCGGGGATGGTCGGAGCCCGGCTCGGGGGGCACAGGAATGGGAATCATTTCTGCACAAGCAGCACCTGCCCACAGCCTGATCTGTTTGTTCCTTCTGGGCTGGGAGAAATGGGAGGGGCTCCGAGGAAAGATGAGTTTTAGGTGGATTTGGAGCAAAATGTCTGTGCTGCACCCCAACCCCTGCCCCTGAGGCTGGTCACAGGTCCTGGGGCTGTGAGTGGGCACCACCACTCTCCCCAAAAAGCCAGAGCTCCTGGGGTGCCACAGCCCCGCACTGGTGGCACTGGCCTGTCCTTCCTCTGTCCTTGATCCTGGCTTGGCTCCCACCTTTGTTTTCAGTTTGACTCCACACCCAGAGCACCTGAGGATGGAAAATCCGCAGAGAATCGGTTTTTTTAAAGGGTCTCAGGGAGTCCTGGGCCACTTGGCTGTGGTGTGGGGTGTGAAGGAGAAGGAGCCCCGGTTCGGAAGGCTGTTCCCGTATCCCCCCGGGCACAGCGAGCTGTTACCGCGGAGCTGAGCCGCCGGAGGAGCAGAGGGACAGCCCGGGAATGCTGCAGCGGGTCCCAGCCCGGAGGGAGCGCCAGGAGCGTTCGGATGCTGCGGAGCTCCAGGTACGAGGGAGCCCGTGCTG